CGGGTGGCGGTCCGGGGGGGAGCCACGGGAGGAGGACGTGCTGAGCCAGACATGCGACAGCCATTGGAGGCAGCAGGGTGTGCCAGCAGCATGGGATTCCAAGCTGACACCATTTTTGATGTTGGTGTTGAACGGGGGAGCCTGATATATCGTTTTGATCAGTGCTGCTCTTTCCATTAGAGAGCCTCGAGCCCGAGGCTGGCTGGCCCTCTGAATGGGATTGCACCACTCTGGCACCGGCTATATCCAGAGCCGTTTCCTCCTCTCCGGGGCGTTGCATCTTGGGCTTTTTGCACAGCAGGCAATATTTTCATTTTCCTTCTCGAGTGTCTGGTTTGCCCCATTTCAAACCCTACTCCTGGGTCACATTTCCAGCCGCTGTAACCCAGCCTGTGCTCGTGGCAGGCTTGGACGGAAAGCCATGCTCCTACTGTCGCTTGTGTGCTCTGTCCTATTTGGGATGCCGAGTGCCGCGTCCCTCTCCTACAGCATGCTGGTCATCACGCGGACCCTCACCGGTGTGGCCCTGAGCGGCGTCTCCCATACTGTATTGCCTTGGGTAAGTACGTGGGGGTCTGTGGGTGCCTGGTTGCACAGAGGGACTTCTGGCAGGCAGTGGGTATGTCGGGGCTTGTCTACCAGAGAGGGCAGAGCCAGTAGGAACAGGAGTTTGGAAATCGTTATGTGTGCAATTTCACTACAGGCACCCTAAAGAACATCTCTCTTGGGAAGATCCAAGAATTACAATTTTCTGTTAGTCTAATTAATGTTTTAACAGTGTACTCAAAATATAGCCACCACTTATCAGTACTTCTGTTGCAACATTAACACTTGCGATCCACGCTACCCAGTTCCTGTTAAGGGTCATCAGTAGTACAATAAAAGCCGTAGTCCAAAGCATCTGCCCCTTTCCTCTGATACTGAGTTCTCACCCTTCAAACGCACTGTTAAGACAATTCATCAGCATTGCCGTGTCCTCAGCAGGAGGAGGATGGTGTGTCATTCGCAGGGTGTTTCTACCTCCCTCGTCTTGAGTTTGCTCACAGTTTTCTTAAGTTCCCAATCTGTATTTTTAGAAGGAGTCAGGGGGAAGAACCACCAAAAAAAATCATACAGAACTAGGCAAAAATGAAGCTGAAGAATTTAAGTAATTACATAATAAAAACAAGCTCCAAACTTCAGGGTACCCAACAGAGCACTGGATGATTTTGTAGATATGGTTGGGATGTACTGGGCAAGACTCACTGTACCCAAGGGCAAGTTACAGGTGCAGCAAAAAAACTTCCAGATACAGCCAAAATTAAGCTAAAATGGCTTCAATGGTGGAAAAGTCCACAAAAGACCTAAACTAATCCCAAGGCCTGCTATGGTTTTTTTATTGTTATAAAGGTTGATGCTTGCAAAGCAAAGTAGAGCTTTGGCCGGATATTTCTGGTTGTTAGAGGTTGTAGCAAGATGTCCAGATCTTTGGAGGAAAATTGGCTTTTAGTTCATACACACAAACAAGGACATCACCATCTGTTCTGGCTTTACATATGCATTAGTATCTACTTCGGGTACATTCCACATGAATGACAATTCATGTTAATATATTTCTTTTATCTGGAATAATGAGTGGGCAGAAAAATGGAAAACTGTGCAGGCAAGACGATTAGGGAAAAAAATTATCTGTTTGATGAAGACAACCATTTAAATGATATTGAATGGGATAAAAAAAGGTATCTCCTAAGGTGTTTTTAGCACTGTTTCTTACTATATGTCCAGTATTTCTTCTTCTAAGGCTTTGTTTTAGTTGCTTACAGCTTTGCAAGAGGTTAAGCATAGTGGATGAATGTTTTAAATGTGACACATGGGCAAACAGTGGAACTCTCCTGGAGGAGAAGACCGGGGTGTTACCTCACTTTGCCCTTGTTAAATAGTCCTGCAGACCCCTTCCTGGAGAAGTCCTGCGTGTCCAGCTGAACGCTGCCTCCCTCTTGCAGGGATGGAGTTGGTGGACATACAGCACTGCACCTTCTCCAGGATCCTGACTAGCATCTTCTGGAGCATCGGGAACATGCTGCTGGCCATGGTAGCATAACTGGTGCAGGAATGGCACAGGCTGTTAGTAGCTGTAACAGGACCTTGTCTTCGGAGCACTGTCTGCCTGTGGTGAGTGCAGCAACCTGCAGCCGGACAGCCAGTGGGGATGGGAGTGGGCTGATTTGCCTCCTCTGCTCTGTGAGCATGGTAAATGCTGCAACGCTGATCCCAGGATTGGCTCCAGCAACCCAAAGAGGAGTAGGACGCATCTGTGTCAAGCACTCAGATTGCCCAGGCGTGGTAGCTCTTGAAAACTGGAGTGGCCTGGGTTTCATCTCTCCTCACCTCCGACAAGGTCAGGAGACAAGGTCGTACCATGGCTTTGGGGACAACGAGGAGGCAGGGCTGGGGCTGTGAGGGACAGGTTGCAGCACAAAGGAGCAGGATTTTATGCTGCAAGCACTGTCAGGCATGGCTCAGAACAAGCAAAGAGATCCCAACAAGGAAGGCAGGGCCAGGCCAGATCCCTGGCTTGAATCCCTGGTAGACTCAAGATAAATAATTTATCCATCCTCTGTCCCCCACCTCACTGAGGAGGATATCTCTGGTACCAGTTTTTCCACATGAGCCAATGACATCTGCAGGCTAGGTCAGGTGCGTTTATCTCTGCACTTTCCATGGTCTTTCTCAGCTGTGTATCCATCCTGATGGGTCAAATACATCCCCTTTCTATGGACTATTTCCCTCCTGTAGCCTTATTTAAGAAATACCTGACACCTCTTAAGCCTTAAAAGGGGAGATGGTTCTTTTAATTAAAGAAACTCATTTTCCTTCTTCTTTTTTTCATGTAGTAACACGGACTAGAATACAGGGTCAATTCACTGATACTGTGACTGTAATGTGAAGTATATTGGATACAACTTACTTATTTGATAATCCAAAACAGTCCTTTGAATAAGCAGTTCCATTTCCTGGCTGGACAAAAGTCCCGAGTTGAAATAAGCAAGCAGGTATTCCCACACCTGCCCCACTGAAAACATTCAGAAATGGGAGTCTGGGTCTCCTCCATCTTAGGGTGGTTGTTTAGTTCCTCTTGGACATCAGTGTGGTGCTGGACCACACTGCAGAAATCCCAGACATGTCTCTCAGGGCAATGGGGAGTTCTAGCTGGAAACCATGCAGAGTAAGATCTGATGGTCAGACACATGGGCCCCAAAATTATATGCATAATGGCTGAGCGAAAGAGTGATCTCCAAATGCTAGTGCCTTTCAGCTGCCATCAAAGAGGCTTCTAGATATGGTTTGCTTGCTTACTATGTCCGTCCATTAGCATGAAGCAGTAAATAGCTGCACAGATCTAGCAGAAAAATCTCAAATAATACTTATGAAAAATGGGATATAAAATGATGGTGTTGTTAATCAATGGCTCAAAAAGACGTACTGTTTCACTGGTGATGAGGGTTTTATGGAAAAGAGTATCATCTGATATTCTACTGATCAAGTCCAACACAACTAAAATATGTGTTCAGCTGACTTTTTTAGTTTGAATTGTTTTGCTCTTTCTCTAGGACAACCAGACATAAAAACTGAGTCCTGGGAAGTGCTGAAATTCACAGATATGTTTGGGCCCACCCTTTCCATGATAACTGATTCTTTTTTCTCTTATGTTAATGCCTTTTATGGAGATTAGTTCTCCAACAAACTATAGTGTAGTCTGATGAAAATTCAGAGCCATGTAGCCATGAATTGCAACCAGATGCCAGATGAGAAAGAAGTCCAAGAACACAGGGTTGCAGATGGTAGTTTATGACAAGTGATGGATCTTTTGCTGGAACAGACAGAAAAACAAGAGTCACAGAACTCCCACCCTACACAGGTCTGCTACGCAGACTTTTCAGAGTTGCTAATTAGCTCTACCGCAGTACAGCACTCCGTGTTGCTCAATGACTAGCATGGATACTTCACTGGGGGCTGCAGCTGCAATGATTTAGACCCCAGCTGACTGTCCTGTGCAGAAGGCTTTGATTATTGTGAAAAACAAATAATATTAGCAATTAACAAAGTAAGTATAGAGCCCACTAAATCCTTTCTACACCATATTTTTTTATATCCTACTATTTCAAAGTTTAAAGAGTCACAAAAAGCACGAATCTGTAAATATAAACTCTCTGGTGCCAATTTTAATTTATAAGAGTTTGAAACTTCAACGAGCTCAGAAAATTCAAGCATTGATTAAAGACCACATGATAAAAATTTTGGCTAGGCATACTTCAATTAGCAGACTGTACTCCTTTAAGGGTAGAACAGCATGTATGTGTAAAAAGGGTGTCCCGTTACTCTTACCCTCATACACCACAGTTGCTATTTTTAGCTGAGGTTGAAGTCTTCATAGAGAAGACTCCCTCTCTTTGGCCAGGGCCATGCATGTAGGGTGGAAAACATGGAGGGCCAACAAGAACACTGTCTTCTCTCCTTGCACCAGGTGGGTCCCAGGGTCATAGCCAATGGCAAAGTGAAACAAGCTCACAGGCATCTGCTTAGATGTGCAAGAATGAATGGAAAGAAAGACTTCGCTGTCTCACCAGAGGTGAGAAACTGAAGATCTATACATACATTCTTCCTCTCCCATTTTCTCTCTATTTTAATTCTGTTTGTTACCTGAAGCAATGCTCAGCCTGCAGCATCACCTGTGGGGCACTGTGGTCCACAGGGTGCCATGTTCCATTTTTCTCTAGAAAGCCTTTCCTAAAGATAAAGCAGCAGCTCAGCTCCTGTAAGGCCAGAAATCCCCTTCGTTAGGTGGAGTGTCTTTCCATTCATTATTGCGAAGACAAGAAGCCTCAGTGCACTGGACACTGGACTACATTCGCAGTGAGACAGAAGCATAGCCTGAAAAAATAAGGCAGAGGCATCACTCCCGTAAGAGAGAGGACAGTGTGCAGGTGCATGAGCAATTTGTGCAGCTTAGTGTTTGCCTTCCTGGGTGCCACAGTGTTTGCCAAGTGTTGGTACAGCACTAGCTGAAAGCAGACACATATTAATAGCATGTAGTTAGCCTATTTTCTCTCACATTGCACTTGAGATACTGCATGTAGTGTTATCCAAAAATGTAAAGGCTAGTTCACCTCAGGCTGCATTTAGTGTACATGTGAAACTGGAAGACTGTCAGCCCTAGTGCCCCAGTGGTGAATGTGGATGTATAGAACATTTGGCATAATCAACTTCTTCCCCTGGCTAAAGCTCTGGTCTCAAGTCAGTCATGGCTCTGACAGCAGTTTTAAAGGAGTGTGGCAAGGGTGAGGTGTTGGGAAAAGTAGGCATGTACCCTCTGGTTTGGATCCATTTTTGCTTGATCCCAGAGGTATAAAGGATGGAACAAAGATGCTCAGCTACATGACTGAACAAATAAAGGGGAATGAGAAGCCTAAAAAATAGCCACCTATTTTCAGCTCCAAAGCTCAAGGTATGAAACTGATCTGGAGATCTTAATCTTGCGCTGAGTTCTATTTTAAAAATGTATTTTTGCATTCAGACTCACAAATGTTGAGACCTTGGTCCACGATGCTTACTTAAGGACACGCTGGTGGCTCCAGGGGATGGGATAAGCTCAAGTATGTCCCAGCTCTAGGGCCAGCCAGAAGCTGGTCTCTCCCTTTGGAGAGACACCAGAGCATAGTCAGTGCTCACAACAACCCTTCACAGCCAGGCTTGGATGGCTGCACATCTGTCACCTCTGACTAATTTGGTCCACATGATTTGTGTCAACCTTCTCAAGAGCAACAAAGCTCAGCTGTGAAATCCAGTGGGTACGGATGTTTGTCGTTCATTAAACATCAATCTCTCCTTTAATGTCCATTGGTTTTCCTCTTACCAAAAGACGAAGATAGGAAATGCCTGGCACCAGCACAGGAGCTTTGTGCTTTGCTGTCACTGTCCAGCTGCATCTCTGTGTGCACCCAGTGCTCCTGCATCCACACCACTGTCTTATCCTGGCCAGTATGTCAGGATTTTCTTAGTATCTGTTGAAGAGGTGATTAGCCATTTTGATTTACAACAGAAACATGTTGTTTAATCATGTGAAAAATTATTAATTTTCTGGTTGTGGCAGACTCTTCCTAGCCTTTAATCCAGCCAGAAGCTCTGGCTAAATATTTTAAAATAATAAGTTATAACATCTTTAATTCAGCTTTGGCTGATGACTCTGTATTTCACAGTGCAGGGTTTCACCAGGGAGGGCATGGGCTTGCACCCTCATACCATTCTTAGTGTTAGGGAATGTAGCTGGGGCTTCCCCTCTATCACAGCCTTGCACCAAGTCACACCAAACTGTGACCACTGGACCATGACCAAGAAAGGCTTGCAGTTGTGACACCTTGCTGGATTCATGAGGTGTATAGGCACATACTTGTTTTTTCTTGTCTATATCCAAACATGCAGGCAACACAGACTGCCTGATTCTAGTTTGCTTCATTGACTTGCCCATGCGTCAGTGTGTTTAGATGGCTTATTAAGGTAACCACTGATTTTCTTTGGTTCAGAAGACTGAACTTTGAAAGACGTATAATCTCCAGATAACTGCACAGCAAGTTACTGAGGTACTCTCAGATTTAACAGCATTGTCTTATAGAACTGATTAAGGAATTTCCCAGTGCAAAATTATTTTTTCAGTATGAAAAGCTTTGGCACTCATCCAAAAACTGCAAAGAATAGTATGCAATTAGCAATAAAATTTTAGCTCTTCCCTAGTGAAACATGCTGTTACTTATAGCTATCCTTTTCCCTTTCCTATCACTTTCTTTCATTTTGTACAATTCTTTTAATCAGAGACCTCTTTGGGCTGGGATTTCTCTTTTATTAGATATTTCCACAAGTCCCCAGCACCCTTACCTGTTTAGCACCATCTTAATTGTAGGTGATGCTGTAGGCCTGCAGATTCCCTTGCCCTCCTCCTTCCCCAACCATCACTGAATTATGTGCATTTTAAGTTTTTTGTGGTTCTTGCTGTTCCGGCTCTCCCAGTTGTCCTTCCACATGCCAAGAAATCTGGCTAAAAATACATACTGGAAGATGTTTTCCATGTTAATATCTTATGATACCCATTTTAATAGCAAATCATGCAACTTAAAGAGAGGACAGACTGCCATCAGGGTAACTTGAATCCAATATTGAACTTCCCATCATTGCAGAAGTAGTCTGTTATCAGTGCTCTGATTCATCCTATGCATTTGGATGAAAAGACCTATTATGTGTCGGTAAACCAACTTACTTTTATAGGTAATTAACTGCAGTATTAAGAAAAGTTACCAGATCCAGAGGTGGGTGTACCGAAATAGAAGGAAAACATGAATTCAACAAGCCACAAGATAATGTGGGACAGGATCATCGAGGTGCCAAACAGACAGACACCCTGTCTGGTTCAAAAAGTCCCTGAACAGCTGGAGGCAGTGACATTTCTAGGGGAATATTTCTACATGCTTGTCCGGCTCTTCTGTAGGCTCCACTGCAGGATGCTGTTGGAGACAAGGCACTGGAGAAGATGATCCTCTGGCCCAAGATGATGCAGGTCATCTTCAGCCATCCAAGTTGTAGGTTCCCTATGTGGCTTTGTGGCTTGGATTAAGTATTTATGCAAAAGCTTTGGCCGAGGCTTTGCTTTCTCTGAAGAGGATATTGATTTGAGAATACATGTAACTAGTTAACCAGACTCTCTCCTCAAGGTTTCCTGTGATTCATAACCTAATCAATTTTAACTGTCTTACCCTGCGTTTGCTGATTATTTTTGGACATGATGAAGCAAGGCTGTTCTGAGAGAAATTCATCTCTCCAAGTGTTAGCTGTCCACATCATCACAGTGTCCTTTACAGTCTGCAATCTAACGAATAGCTGATGGAGGCTAACAGATAATTCTTCTGACTGCGGTTGTTTGCTCTAGGATAAAATTACTCCATCACTTCCACTGGAGATCCCCATTAACTACACACTGAGCCTATGGCAACTAGCTTAGATATAGCTGCATGGCAGACCTGTGGTTGTGTGAATCTCTTGCATCTCAGCCAGTGAGTAGAACTTAACAGCTCTCCTGGTATTTACCCCTCAATCAATTGCTTAGAGACTTTGTGAAAAAGCAATCCCTTCTTCCTTATGGGCAGGGCTCACTTCTCAGTGCCTGACTTTTTTATATATTCTGTATTTATATAAACAGAAGTATAAATAATCATACTTTATATAAATGCACTCCTGAGACTAAAGCATACAGCTCACTGTTAGCTCTTGTCTGAGACTTGACACAATTGCAGGCAACCGCATGGGGAAGAGGGTGGAACTGGCCAACACTGACTTTGCTAACACCATGATCTGCCATTTTTCTGCAACCCTTTCTGCCACACGGGGTATGTAAGTAAGAAGGAAGAAGGGGCCATGGGAAGAAAAAGAGGTCTAAAATGGTAGGTAATCTAAAAAGTTGTAGGAAGACATGTCTCTGACAACATATGCCCAGAGAATTATTTTGCAATGGGAACATACGGAAAATCCAAGGTGGAACTGGACCTGGGAAGGGCAAAGGCCCCAGCCTGTCTAGGGGTTCATGTCTGGATCCTAAAAGTACAGCAGCTGAGCTATTTCCTTCTTTCCACCTCTCCCAGGCCCTCAGAAGGATGGCAACAGACAAAAAGCCAGGAGGGAGTTACTTCTACATCAGCTTGTTCAGGACACCAGTCCTGCGGAAGATCTCCCTGTGTTATGGGGCTATGTGGTAAGCAGTGTCACTTCACACAGGGGATTTGTCATGCAGTTCCCCAGCTGGATTTCCCTAATCCCCATCTCCACACACTTCGTACAGGTTTGGTGTCGCCTTCTCTTATTACGGCACGAGCATGAACCTAACTGGCCTTGGGCTCAACGTGTATCTCTCCCAGTTTGTCTCTGGTGTCATTGAGATTCCAGCCAAGATGATCATGTACATGCTGGTGAATCGAGTTGGACGACAGCAGAGTCAGGCATGAGCACTCATCCTGACTAGACTGTGCCTAGGAGCCAATGTCATCATTCACAAGCATGGGACACTCTTATGCTATATGCAGTACATGCTAAAGGAGAGGTTTCCATTCTGTGCAGTGCTAGAGGAGAACCACAGATCTTGTCCACAGGCAATTCTGTATAGAAGTGTCCTCCACCTAAAGAGCATCTGTGGTACAAGGTTACTAATGTGGGCTAGCCCTAATATCTGGTAGCAACAGATGGCCTCCAGTCACTGAGAAGTGGCTAGTAAGGGTCCAGTGATGGCAAGGTGAAATGCCTATCTTTATTATAGACATTGTCCAATGGGAAATGTCAGGACCTACTCTTTCATCAGTTCAGCTCCCACTTGGGCGAATAGTTACCAAGCTTAAGTGATCCAGACTTTGGAGACAGCAGCTCCAGGGCTGTGAAGCTCCCCGTTTTGTCCAGAGGAGCACTGAACCTTCTTCCTTCTTGTACATGAGACCACAAGAAGCTTCTTCCTAGAGGCTGCTCTTTGGCTGTTGTCATAAATGTCTTTCCTTTCCTCCTAGCCTTCACCTCCTTGCGCCGTGTAGTAGCCATTATGGGACAAGGTTTCTCAGAAGCTGCATTCACTACCATCTTCTTGTACACCTCTGAGCTCTACCCCACCATACTGAGGTAAGAGATGCCACTAACCTGAGTGCACAACTAAAGCCTCGGTAGGATGTCAGCCTCAGGTCTTCGACATCAGCACAGCAGGACGTGCTGTTCACTAGAGTGCAGGACTGATGCCTTGCCTCTAGAAGTAGCAGGTTCTAGGGATTACGCTTACTCATAAGAAAGGGGCAGAAAGCTACCCTTTTTTTACCTGGGTTATGTGTGGTTAAATTATGATGATAGGGAGATATATCGAAAGGTGAGGAGTATTCTGTGTGAGACTATTTTTGAATTCTATACGGTATCTGTGCTTAGCAAAATCTTAGTTCCCTGTGATAATCTGCCAATAGCTCTTAAAAGGCCCAGAAGATAATAATTTGAAATATCAAGTTTTATAAAGGACACATACTACCACATGTTTGACAGTCTTCTGGACATCAGATGACATTAAAACAGGGATTAACTAGCCTTTCAGGAGGAAAAAGAGAGCTTATTTGAAATATCTGGGTAATGGTGACATAAAACCAAATCAGCATAGTTTGGGATATAGCTGAGACCAGTGGAGAAAATCACCTCACTGTTTTTTTTTGTGAAAGTCTGAAAAAAACTTACTTCACCTCTGTCCCTCCCTGCCCAGACCACCCTTCTCCGCCATTAGTCCTTTAATGTTTACTGGTATGTTGCATGTGGAAAATGATGGGGGGATGATATTTAAAACAAAGTGGGCACACTGATCTGCTACTTCTCAGATTGGTTTGTACTTTTACATGCTCAAAGATATTGACAGATAAAGACAAAAATGTTGGTTCCTTCTGCAGTACTTACTCTGCATATGCACAAGCAGGTCCTGGGATCCTTGTTGTCAGTGTGAAATACCACCCATCCCCTGAAAATTAGTAAGTGGAATAGGTCCCAGGTCTTACTTTTGGCCTCCTCTCCAAGCTCTCCTGGGCTTATAGCTCCAGAAGGACCAAAGGTGCTCACAGGTGTTTCTAGTGCATGCCACCTGCCTAGAAGTACCTGGGAGAAGCAGGGACTTAGGTTTGCTCTCAGCAGACAGGAGGACTTACTATGGGATGGGTAGAAAATGCACTCGGGGTTTTAGACATTTAAAGTGGAAACAACTTTACAGCAGATATTTTTAGTGTGGAACTGCAGCTTGTTTCTCATAATAGACATAAATCTATTTCTCACAGCAGTTATGGTTGCTCTCTGGGAAATATTGTAGGAAGATACAAAGAAAAAAAAAAAAACCTGGCAGAGGAAAAACGTGAGGGGAAAAAAGTCTCAGCACTTATAGAATAATAGGAGAAAGGGGCAGAGGGTCAGCATTTTTTCCTAAGGTCTGATATGAAAAAAGTACCCATCTCTTTCTTGTGGTGCTCTGTACCACCACGGTGCCCTACCTTTCTAGGCAGAATGGGATGGGGTACACCTCCTTTGTGGCACACCTCGGTGGGGCTTTGGCCCCACTTGTTGTTTCTGCTGGATGAGGTGTGGAGGTCTCTGCCCAAGGTGACATACTGTGGTGTAGCAGTGTGCTGCAGCTCAGTGGCCTTCCTGCTCCCTGAGACACCCAACGTGAGGCTGCCTGAGGGCATCGAGGACATCGAGAAGGCACAGTGAGTCAGCTCCATCCTGCCCTGCACATGGAGTCTGCTGAGAGAGGCAGGGGACATCCCTCTCTGCCACCTGTAATTGCCCAGCTGTGGGTGGCAAGGGATGAAGGGACAGCCCGGTGGGGATCAGGGCTGTCAGGCTTCCTGCTCTTCTGTCCATCAGCCCAAACGTGCCTTCTTTTCTTCCAGAGTGAAAGAGCCACCATCAGTGCACCACCAGTGCTCCCAAGGGCATGCCACTACAGTCTCTGCTGAAGTGAGGGACTCCGTGGGACAGGCACTATGTAGGACTGCAAAACTGAGTCGTGCTCTGACCTGTCAATAGAAAGGCCTTTACTGTCCACCTAGTCTCTCTCTGCAGAGAAGTGGGGCTGAAGACACTGGAGGAAGGAGGCAGATCATGAAACCAGCAGGAGGGAGCTAACCCACTCTGTAGTATTGCCAGGAGCAAGAATGCAAAGATCTAACAGAGTGTGGAAATAAAGGCACCCTGTGTGAAGCTCTTTGGCCTTGTTGGACTAGCAGCACCTTTCAGATCACTGCACAGTCTTCCAGAAACTACAATCCATTGGTTTCCATGCCACAAAAAATGCAATGCAGCAATAAAAAATACTGAATGTGAATTGTACAAAACCAAATAATCTCACATAAATCTAACTGGATGGTGGATAAACTATAAACTGTATCTACAAATATTTCTTGAATTTGGAAATGATCTGGACATTTTTCACACCAAGGCGCCAAGTCAGCAAAAATCACATGCAGGAATCTCACTGAGAATGGAACAACTGCAAGCATTTGTCTCACATACACAAAGAAGAAAAAAGTATTTTGCAGATTATTTAAATCCAGTGTGTATGCAATAAGTATCCTTTAAGCTAAAAAAACCCAAAGCCAACCACCTCGCTACAGGAATTTTTGCATGGAATATTGCATAATTCATTGTTGGACTTAATTCTGCTTACTGATCTAACACATTGATCTTAAATTTAAGGAGTGCCTTTGGCTCTTGCACTTACTTCTGCAAACAAGACAGATGAGCCACCAAATTATCTATAAATTTGGAACTCTGACAAACAGCACTTTCCTAAACTGGGAAGAGGGAACGGCCTCAGCATCTGAGTCCCAGGTGCGCTTGGGCTGTGAGGTGTTTTAAGCTAAGCCAGGCACAGCCCTAGGTGGGTAACACAAACTGAGGGCACATCTGAAAGCGGGTGGAGAGGCCCATCCGATCCCAGGTCACAGAGCGCCTCCTAGTAGAAATAAGGTGCCTGGCAAGATTCTATACATCACCTTCTTGGCTTTAAGGCAACAAAAGGAAAGCAAACTCCTCAGAACCACCCTAAGGCTGAGACAATTTTGCATATTATTTCTGTCTTAAAGGGTCAACCAACCTGCCAAATCCCTGGGAAAAGAGCTCTGCCGTGCATTCATCAGCACCAGGCCAGAGCCAATAATCAGCTAGCCACAACACGCTCACATTAATAATAGAGCATAATATACTTTCAAAAGTGCCACGTGCAGAGCACTTGTTTGGACACCTTTTCAGGGCATTCCCCTACCTACAGCAAATACGTAGTGGAGATAGCCCAGAGTGCTTGTGCCATGAGGCAGCATGCAAACTGTGTCAAAGAGTAGAAATTAAGAGGAATTTCTGTGTTTGGACAAGCCTGGTATCTCTCACTAGTTCACATTTAGTAACTGCAGGAGTTTTCACATCTTCTCTATATGCCTGCGAGTATAATATAGTATATTTGTAATGCTGTCATCAGTTTCTGACCTGGGAGCAGTACAGCCTCACCTTATTTTGGCCATCCTGCTAGCTGCCATCAGAGAGCTGGAAAGGACGTTTTCCCTCTGCTGGCAGAGGAGCCTGAGCAGCCTAATGCTGCAGCACTTTCTTCTGAGGCATCTGGGACAGGACGCAAGACAAGCTGTGAAATTCACTTCGTCACAACCTGGCAAGTGCCAGTCCAGGAAAACTTTCAATAAAGAAGGTAAAAGGAAAAACAGGACATTAACCAACTAAATAACTCACAGTTTTCATTACTGATAGGTTTGCTAAGGAAAACCTGACTGGGGGGGTGGGCTAAACCTGATTTCCAGGTTCTGAATTTGCAAGATGTCTTTGGTCTGCTGCAGACTTGTGTATGAGAACAGAAGTGACAGTTACAAACAAAAAGACCTTTTCACAAACAGAAAAAACATAGAACCATAGAATCTTTGGGTTGGAAGGGACCTTTTGAGGTCATCTAGACCAACCCCCTGCAAGAGCAGGGACATCTTCAACTAAATCAGGCTGCTCAGAGCCTCATTCAACCTCATCTTGAACATTTCCAGGGATGGGGCATCTACCACCTCTCTGGGCAAACTGTGCCAGTGTTTCACCATCCTCACTGTGAAAAATTTCTTCCTTATATATAGTCTAAATCTGCCATCTTTTAGTTTAAAACCATTACCCCTGTTCTATCACAACAGGCCCTGCTAAAATGTCCCACACTAGGTAACAATGCATGAGAAGCTAAGAAAACATCTTTAGGAAAACTAAGTGATATCAAGAAAAATGTGAAGAGTTGAATAGGTTAAGAACACAAGGTCTGTTGCCTCTCCAGTCCCCATGTTGTGTGGTTCAGAGCACTGCATCGCCCCTGGACTTGGACAACTGAAGTCTGAAGGGGCAGAGCAGAGGAGGCAACTTGGCCCTTTCCTCGCTTGCTGCCCTCCTTCAGCAGCAGTTTATCACTCTGGTCTATCAACATCCTTCTTGACCTGGATACAGTACCGACAAACACTGAGCTGCGGGGTACAGCCCCTTCCCTCTACATCCCAGCTGTGCCCCTGTTCATAGGGCTGTGCCTGCCAGGCCCACAGGACCTTCCTTGCAGAGCCTTACCAGCTCCAGCCTCTGTCGTTGCCAACTTTCCCTTTCACCCTGAATTCTGTGGGGTTCCTGTTGTCTCCAGGGGAGAGGATGGCTGAATGGCTGCCTGCCCTCTGCATGCCAGCTGACCTCCCTGGGTCTCAGAGGTCCGTGCCCCCGGTGCAGCGACAGCAGCCTGTGTGGGTGTGCAAGGCTGCGTGTGGTCCCTTACGCGGACCAGGCCACACCAGGCCTTGGCCTGGGCCTGTGCCTCTGGTGGCAAGACCAAGACCAGAGTCCCACCAGCCTTGCAAAACTGTGGGGCTCACAGGGCAACCAATCCCTGGAGCGGGGCTGCAGCCTCGGGGCATGTGTGCACGGACGCGGGCACCGGGGGGC